TGTTAAATAGCACTGGTCCCAATACTGACCCGAGGAACACCACTTATCACTGGCCTCCACTTGGACATTGATATGTTGACCACAACTCTTTGAATGCGACCATCCAGCCAATTCCTTATCCACTGAATGGTCCATCCACCAAATCCATGTCTTTCCAGTTTAAAGACAAGGATGTCGTGTGGGACAGTGTCAAATGCTTTGGATAAGTCCAGGCAGACGACGTCAGTTGCTCTTCCCCTATCCATCAATGCTGTAACCTCATCATAACCTCTTCATCTTCTTATGTGATGCTTTTACTTGTTCTCTCTTTATAGTGCCTGGAAATTGCTGGGCACTTCATGTTTCCTAAAGTGGATTATCGTGTTACATAGTCTAAATACAAGCAAGTTCCACTCTATCCATGTCAGCCCTATTCTATTCACTTTTTAAGGATACATAAGCTTGAAGGAGTTTGGCTGCATTGCCCCAGCCTCTTCTGCCACAGGCACTGGGGATAGCGGGGACAGTAAAAATACTTTAAAATCTGTAACTGAGTTCTCACCTGAGTGTCACTATGATTGCTGACGGCTGGGCGCATGCTGTTATAAGGGTAACAATGAAGAGAAATATCAGGAACGGGATAAGCGTGTTGCAGGTTCGATCACACTTCCCAGAAACAGCGTAGCCGTTCTCATTCAGGTAGGTTTTGACAATAACCAGCCGGAGCTGGCTGCGCTGGCCCACCGTTGGCGGAGTGATCACCTGGCGACTCTGGACACAGGCACATTCTGTGTAATTTCTTACCTGGGGAGAGTGAAAAAGAACATTTCTGCATGAAAACCCTGAGCAAGAAAGTCATTGCACAGAGACGTGGTACAACAGTCCCAGGGCACTTCTCAATGAGGAATCTCCTGCCTCTAGCATCATTACCCCAAGTAATACCCCAAGTGTAAGTGAAGTTTTTTTAAAGTTGGCCAAGATTCTCCTTGATGAAAATTCCATTGCTATATTCCATTGCTTTATTTAGGCTGAGTTTAAAAAAATTCTGGAATATTTTGGGAAAATTCTGCCAAAACAATTCAATCACTTGTGACAGGAAGGCTGGAGAAAAAGACTATTTCTATTGTATTGCAAAAACTTCGAGTGAACACTCTTTAAGCAGCACTGACAACACCATATTCCAGAATTTGGCAGCCTGTTGACTTTCATAATCAGGAGGTATCTTCCGGATGTGGACGGGATGTGGACAGGAGCAAAACCAGAGAATAAGGAGGAAGCAGAGACTCAAACAGTATGACTGGAGGACATGAGAGATTCCTGAATGGACAAAGAGGCTGAAATTAGGATGAAGGGACTGAATAAAGAAGTGGCAAAGGGGACTGTGATTTGAGCAAGGTGAGGAAGAGCTAGATCAGAAATAGCTTCCTGTCACATTTATTCTACTACTGTTTTCAACTAATCTAATGGCAAAAGGGTGTGCAGCAGATCAGAATACGCTGACACTAGAGAAGAAACAAGTCAGGACCCATGTGATGTAACAGGAAAGAGTTTTTGGTTTCAATGTTTGCATTCATAAAACCTAGGACCACACACGCACAGAAGCTACATTACAAGACCATCTTAAGGCTGCAAATTTAAGCACTCGGACATCAGGAAATATCCAAATTACGGTTGCTTGCCAACTTTAATGAATACCTTTGTATGTGTTCATGCAGTGACATAGCCTCACATTTTCTTCCCATGAGATTTAGCTGAAGATCTTAATCATGTATCAATTTATTCAGTATTTTACCTCTCATTTTCAAAATGCGGCTTCAAGTACTTTTTTCTCACACTAAACATACACCACTACAAAGACAGAATGACTCATATTTCATATGGATTTTTCTATCACGCTCACCATTATAGCTTACCTCTTTCAAAAAGGAGTAATTTATCTTCTAAACAGTTACGAGATGAGGCAATGATGTTGTTATCTCTATTTTGTAGCTAACTGAAACAGATCACATGTTTCACAAATGTAGGTGACTAATTTGAGACAATCAGGATCCTTTTTTACAGAACATTTTCCATTATATGCAACTCAATCTATTCTAAACATAACTTTTCATGCCTTCAGAATACAGATTTAGCCACTCAGTGCTTCCACAAATGGCACTTCTGGTTATTGCTCATGTCCACCATCCAGAATATGAAGCATGTAAGACTAATGACCAAGCGGGACAACTTTTGTTTACACGACTTGCCCAACATTGCTTAGGAATGAAGGCAATGACAGAATCCAGTTTCCCAAGGCTGCACTCCACTTTCTAATATCACATGAGTATATGCTTTCTTCCTACAGTCCCTCACCTTAATCTCCTTATTGCTTCCAAATGCAAATGCCAAAATTGGCATCCCACAGAAAACAGTCCTCTTTACTACACAACCTTAGTTCATCACCAGAGAAACCAAGTCTGTGTACTAAATGAGACAGATATGACACAAAAGAAATGCTAGAGTATGGGAATATATATATATATATATATAAAACAGGTGTGAACTGTACACTGGCACCCCTTTCTCCTAGTTTTAAAATGGTTACTTTTGAAAGCACTATAAACTTAAATCTGAATGTTATAGGTTAGCAACGTTTTGTGTGTTATACAGTGGCACAAGCTTACATCTGTTGTTTTTAAAAGTATCCTACATAAAGCATTATTTAATGAAGAAATGCATTTTCCCACCAGTGTTGCCTTATTCTATTCATCATTAGCCACTGAGTTAAAACTTCAGGCCATGAGGATCTTTTCTTAAATTGTAAGAGGAGATAGTATGTTTCAAAATCTGTAGTGAAGAGCACATACTCCCCAAGTACCTCCCTACTAAATTAATTAGTAGTGCCAGTTTGATACCAGGTGAAATGTGGCAAAGATCAAACCTATGTCTCAATCCAGCAGCACGAATAAGATTTATATAGACACAGAAAGTTGACCACAGGGTCACATCACAGGCTTTTCCGATAGGATCAAAGCCATTTTCTACTAAAAACCAGCAAGATATTCTAAAAAAAAAAAAAACAAAAAATATAAAGGAAACTAATCTCTTCTCAGTGGCATCTATATATGAACCTGGATTTTCAGACCATTATCCAGTCTACCTGAGAAACCACAGCACTGGACCTAACATCTTCCTGCTTCACAGGCTGGCTCAGGCTGTAAACCAGGAGACTGATACATTATAAATAAGCTTTCTGGAAAGCACAATCAAGTCCTGAGAAATCAATGTTTACATTACTTCCTGTCTTTCTTAATTTCCTTTTTTGAAGGACAGCTCTGTAATTCTTCTGTAAACAGAAGAATTTAAGAGTTCGTTTTGTGTACAAAACGACCACGACCACAATGCTTTTTTGATGTTTAGGTCAGATTCTACTTTTCAACTGTTTTTTTGTGCCCAGTCCTGGAAACTGCCAAAATTTCCATTGTGTGATTTTACTAGCAGGATACCCTTCCCCAGTCTGGCATAACTGCAAGACTGGGCTGTAACAGGCAATGTACTTCCAAGAAAGTTGATTATTAACATCTTTTAAGTTCTGGTTACTTGAGCTCAAAACAATCACTTCATGTAGCCTGGAAGAGCTTTAGAGAAAGGCTATGAGAACGACCAATCTATTTTACCAGAGCAGGACATATGGGCAGTCTTTACCTAGCCATGCAAACAAAAGACCTATCAATGCACAGGTGCAGGTGCAACAGCTACTTATGCAAAATGACAAGGCTGACACAAACAGTAATGACTTTAATCAGGTCAGAACTAACATTAAGCAGGAGTTTAAAACACTTCCAACTACCCGAAGAGTTAAGTTCTTCCTCCCATTCAGAGAGGGAGCCAAAAAAAATCTCAAATTGGTCTTAAGAGTAACACTGATGAGCTTGCAGAAAGACAGTATGACACAGCTGCTTGCGTTAGCAGAAAGCTGAATTAGATGACACTGACTCAAGGTCCCTTCTCCAAGCCCTGCAGGGACATCAGACATGCAGGCCACTGCCATCAGGGACTTCAGCATCTGCACTGGAAACATCAGCCCTCCCTATCCTGTGGCACTTAGCCCTCACTTGGTTGGAGGATTCACTTGCTACAAATGAACTTGTGCCTCAAAATTTGCACATAACTGAAAGGAAGGGGGGTGAGACCATGCAATAGTAGCATTATCAGCCTTTCAAAACATGGAAAGACTCATGCACGAGTTATCTGCAGAGCAACTTCTCTGAAGCTCAGAGGGGGGATGTTTGTGTCAGAAACAGCAGTCTGATCTCCATCAGTCCCAAGGGGCTACTCGCGGGTTGCATGTGGGTGGGTGGGTGAAGCACTTACCCCTGTGCTATGGTTTCCACCATTGATGCAGCCAGCTAGGCAAGGATTAAAATATGTTATTCCATCTGATCCACAGACAGGCTCGTACTCATGAATCTTACATCCACAGTTAACATTACAGCTCCCAGTCAGATTCCTGTGGGCCATGGCAAGAGTGGGACTGAAGAAAGGAAAAAGAACATGCTAGTAGAGCAAGCACAGATATCCTGCTGTTCAGAGGGAGAAAACATCCTACTCATTAACTCTGGAACTGAGAGTTGATTATCAGAGAAAAACTGCAATAACTCTAGGTTATGTACATGATTTAAACAATATAGAAGAACACCCAAGGCATCCCTGTCATCAATTCCATCGAAACGGAATACAAAAATAATACCAGATTTTAAAACTCGTATCTTACTTGCCTAAGTAATAGTTGTATTTTTACACTGCTTTTTTTTCCTTTAAGACACCACTGTTCTATATGTCTATCCTAAGCTGCAGCATTTTGGTTTTGATTATTAGTGAAGGGCTCAGTGACAAGATGTAAGCATCATCTGAACTAATAGGCATCTCTTCCCACATACCAAAAACTGTTCAGAAAACTTAAAGCTTGTATTATTTACATGTATATGTGAAATCCACAGGAAGTTCTCTAGATCTGAAGGAGTGCTGTGCTCTTACTAAATGTCTGTAAAAGACCACTACTTCACTTCCCTGGATCATTCCCCAAAATCTTTCCAAAGTCCAACTTTATAGGTCCTCCCCAGAAGGGTTTGGCAGCATGCTCAGAAGGAACTAAAGGGCATTTCAAAGCTGAAGGACACACACACATCAAAAAGCAGGCTATTCACTATCTATCTCTGCTGCTCCAAACAGGTAGTTGAACAGATCTCAACTGCCACAGCAGGGAACTGCATCAGCTCTTCACTGGCAAGCACCATGCCAGCCTGGGCATGTCCTCACCACGAGACAGATGCACAAAGGGAGCTCAACCAAGGCAGCAGCTCATGGCACTCATCTGAGCTCAGTGGCTCCTGTAACAAGGCCCAAATGAAGCACTGCACTGAGAGAGCTACAGGTCTCTCCCAATACACCCTCTCCTCCAGCTAACACCTCTGCACAGCACATCTGCCCTGTCTGGAGAGAGTAGGTCATTTGGAAGCAGTGCTGGTCCCCTCAAATGGCACTGCCCTGGGTGCTGGCAGTCTCAAAACAAGACAAACTCCTAAGACCGAACCAATACCTGATAACCTGAGCTGCCAAGGGGCAGACAGTACGAACCACTGAGTGCCAGCGTACAACCCATGGCTGGAATAGAGATTTTATAAACATATAATCCCACCATGGCTCTACTTTACCATATCAGTTGTACCACTGCAGCTCAATCCAGAAGTAACAAAGGCCTTAATAACACCAGCGACTGTATCTGTCAGATGACAGACTCCTCATTAGAAGATGCTACGGGAAAAAACCCCACTGATCAAATTATGTTTTTTGCTACCAGTAGAAAGAAATCAACTCTGGTTACAACTGATCTTCGGCTGTCACCATCACAGGTTTTGACTCAGGTTGACTAAGCCACACAGTCACCAAACTAACCAGCTCCTGTCTTATGTATGATATCACTTCAGCCCTGCCCAAAACAACTCAGGTCACTTAAAAATGCCCTGCTTTGGGCACAAACCCAAGAGGAGACACCCAGCTACTCCCTGCACTGAAGGAAAGCCCAAGGTGACACCGGACTTTCAACATTCCTGGCTAGCGTAAGGTTTTGGAGTACAAAACAAAGGAGGAAAAGCATTAGCAGGCAACCTCACTGGGAGAAAATAATAGCAAAAACCCCTACGTAACCGTATATACAAATTCTGATTATAGAGAAGCAGAGAGTGTTAAAATGAAAGAGTTAGAGAAAACAGATACTAGTTTGTTTGTTTCCAAATTAAAAATGGACTGGCATAACTGGACCCAGTGTATATCAAGCTAATATCAGAGGATGTAAGGTGCCAGTCTCTATTATCTAGAAGCTCCTCATTTATGATCATAAATACGATCATATCATGTTTTTCTGATGAATAACTGGTCTGAAAAGCCTTTTACTTTTAATGGTCATATTTTCTTGAAAACCTCAGACTAGTTTATAAAGAGTTACTACATATACTACCTTTGGCCCTTTCAGTTCCTAGGATTGCTCAGATGAGCTTTGTAGCTCTGTTTTTTTTTCCTTGGCTGGCTAAAGGCTAAATGAAAACTTATATTTGTACGTGTACATTTTCTCTGAAAACCTTAGAAACACACGAAAATGGCTGTTGAGACCACTCTTGTCTCTTCATCAGTATCCTGTCTCCAACAGTAGCCATAAGAAGATGACTAGGGAAGAGCAAGAACAGGGCAAGTAACTCCCCCCGAAAAAGTATTCTCTTGGCCTCTAATGAGGGTCAGCCCAAAATATTTTCTGTGTCTGATGTGGGTTTTTAGTTAATAAACCCCAATTGCTTTTCCGTGTACTTATCCTATTGAGATAAAAATTTTTGCACTTACAATATCCAACAGCAAGGATTTATTGACAGTCCACAGCCTGTTACATGAGCTGTTCTTTGTTTTGAATCTGGCTCTCACTAGATTTATCTCACAGCCATCACTTCTACTACTTTCCTTGTACATTCTGAACACATGAAGGCTCCCGAAAAAATAAACTTAAGGGGTTCCTATGACCAACATGAAAATATTTGCAAGCTCTAGTGAAATAATCTAGTCACAATTAAATGAACCACATCTAATATTAACTAATCTAATCTAATCATATCTAGTATTACCTGAAGGCATTATGCCAGAAGGTACCTGAAGGTATAGGCATAAAGTATTACCTTTTATCCATGCTGTTACTGAACATGCTAGCTCAGGTATCAAAAAGAAAATAACTGTTCTGCTTAGATATATATGCAGCCACACCCTGAAATCTAAGTTATTTTCTGCTGTCATTACGCAGCCAAATTATAACAAGTATGAACTTTTAAACATCCCATATTATATTTATACCTATTTTTACTACACTTGCCATGCTCTCTGTCTTGTTTCAGGTTGCTAAATTAATTTAATAAGGGGAAAAGCAAAAGTCTGCAGTGTGGTTTATTGCTGGTTCAATTTTCTGCGTCTCATTTGGAATTTCATCTGGGTTTAAAATACTGCCAGCAACATGACTGCATTAAACCAATGGAAAAGTTACCTGAATGACCTTATTCATATCGATCTACTTCCAAGTGATAGGGTTGGCTGAGGCTAGGGACCCTAGCTCTTATTTCCTAAATACCTTTCTGTCTAAAGAAATCACGGTTCCTGCATTCTGCACCCGCACTCCCTCTTCACTGCGTAAGGTGATTCCAAGCCACTGAGAACTAAAAAGCAGCTGGTATCAACATTTTCACCTGAACCTCCTCCTGTTACTTAGGAAAACCTCCATTTTATTACGCTACTTTCTGTCATAGCTGCACTCTAGGCTTGTAAGTGCTACTTTGTGTCTCAAAGCACCTGAATATTCAGTACCACAACGCGCAAGTTTTTCAGAAGATGGAGGGCCAGTTTCAAGCCACTTGTTTTATCGGCTGCAATTTGCAATACTTAAACATGAAACTTTTTAGTCCTTCCAGGTGCCAGTCAGAAAGGCAGGTTCTGTAAGGAATCAAGACAACTGGCTCTTCTCAAGATCTCAAAAAATTCAGAAGATGGAAGTGAGGGCCTGACTTTCTGACTGGCACTCTGGCCAGGGAAGGTGAGATGGGAGCCAAGAGTGATGACAAGACCAGACTAGAATTGAGTCTAGAGACAATGACCACAGACAGACTCAGTCCAGTGATCACACAGCAAGTCCACGAGAAAGAAGGGCAGTACTTTCTGCCTCCAGCTTTCTTCACAACAGCTCTTAGCAGTGACAGAGCTGACCTTGGACTGAGCCAGCTGAACTCTTTCAGTGCAGGTGACCAAGCTCCTAGAAGTGGGGAGGACGCTCTCTGCACCCTGACACTGTACAGGAATACCAGTGCCCACTACAGAAAGCTCAGTGAGCTCCTACACACACAGCAAAATGCTGCCCCTTTGTGCTGATAGCCTTCTTCAGACACACCACACTTCATGGATTTATAGAAGGTCTCTTCTGGAAGAGGAAGCTTCCTCATCAGCTCTGCAGTTGCCTGAGGTGGGAACACTGAGGTTCCAGGTCTTCCACAACCTGAATGGGTTCAAACCTACATCTCCTTGATGGTGTTCTTATCAGCAAGCTCCGGAATGGTGTATCTTTCCATCTTTCCTGCTGAAACTGAACAGGTTCTCAATACTGTTCATGTCTCCTCATCAATAACTGTCTACCGCCGTATCTACAAGCAAAACCTGGAGCAGAGACCAGGACTGAAGCCATTTCTTCCAAGAAATTTCTCCTTTCAGAAGGTTTTAAAGTTAGGTTCGCCCCTTGCTTACTCTCTTTTCTTCTGCTGCAATTCTATACATTCCTCATTTTTCTCCTTTCTCTTTCCTTGTATCCACCATCCATTTGCGGAGTGTAGATGGTGCTCTTGGGGACATCAGGAGTTCAGGGTCAGATTCTCTCTGACTAAATAGCTGGGTAGAGGCTACCACACAGAAGATGAACAACTTTTGTAGCAACCAATTTTCTGACTTCCTAGCAAAAATCCAGTATAAGAAAGATCTTATCTCCTCCGCAATAACTGTTAAACATAGTGGCCAATGCTAATAAAGGGGTATCATTGGGAAACACATATACACTCCATAAGGAGTTGGACATACTTGAAATGCTTCCTTCCCATCTCTGAGTCACAGCAGCTTAAACATCTCCACCTACCTGGCTCCCTAAAACCACACAAGAGTGTATGTTTGGTCACTTGGAGAACTCCAATAGCTTATTTCACTTCAGTAGTCCTTGAGAACAGGTAACTATACTAGTCTCTGAAACTGAAGAGTCTAAGATATGCTTAATCTGGGTTCTGGAAAGAATTCACATTTCAAACATGTCCCAAAGTCCTTCTTCAGTGAATACACTCCTCTATCCTATCTGCAGTGGTCACAATGGCAGAAATCTAGTTTAGCTCAGAAGATAGGGCCGTGCAGTCTGTCATCTGCATGGTTTTCTGACTCTTCATATCTAGAACACATGGTAGCTGAACAAGTGAA